TACCACTACTGTGCATGTGTGTCAAGGACAGAAAGGCAGACGTGGCAGTGGAAGGTGTCAAAGCAGTTTGGAGAGAAAAACAAAGTAAAGAACAAAAAAAAAGATTAATCGATTATTAAATTAGTCATCGATTATTTTAATAGTCGATTAATCGATTAATCGCGGCAGCCCTACACGTGATGTCGGTTTTAAATTGTTGAGACTAAATATTTAATTTAAGACTTCATGACCATCAGCATTAAATGGACAAAGTTTTTTTTTGGGCTGTTTGTTGACTCACCGATGACGAAGGCCTCTTTGAAGGTGGTCCCGGTGACGTTGTACCACGGCGGTCTGCCTGCGGTGTAGATGGTCCTCTTGTTGGTCCTCAGCAGAGGAGGTTCCGTCTTAGACTGGCTCGTGGTGCGTTTCCGCGGAGACAGAGACGGCGTCAGCGGACAGTGGGAGACACGGCTGGACAGGCCGTTGAAGGAATCGTCTCCGCTCCCGCTGGAGATGAAAACGTTTGTGAGCATCTTCTTATTTTAACAGCTCCGACTCAGCTTTTTTTTTTTTTTAGCAAAACCATCCAGCAGAAAATATACTTTATCTAGTTTAGTTTTGCCATCAGAAAAGCCTTTTTTTAGCTCATAGTTGACCCCCCTGTACAGGCACTGAATTATTACAACACACCTGCAGGTCCAGCTGATACCACAAACAGCTCAACAACAACAACAACAACAAAGAGTAAAATGGGAACAGGTGTGTTCAGGTGGACCTGCATGTATGTGGTTATCCTGCAGAGAAGAAAGAGGGGGACATTTTGTCTGTAATGCCCCCCCATCTGAACTTCTCTCCACTTTACTGTCAGTGTGGTTGAGGGGGAGGGAGGGGGAACTTCCCAACCCTCCCCAGGAAGTCACACTGCTGCATCCTTGGCGGGGTCACCCTTCACATGAGTAAGGCTGTCATCACTTGGCCTGTTCATAGACAGAATCACAGATAAAAAATATTGATCCATACTAATTGCTTAAATCACCCCATAAATGTTGCTTTTATATAGTTTTTACATTCAGAACAGTGCTGATCATCTTTGTTTTGTCATATTTGATGTTATTCAGTAACTAAAATAAAGCCGAATTGTTCAGAGCACTCTATAATGCCTTGTTTTGGGGATAAAATAACAATAAGTTTGACCAACGACAGAAAAACTATTAAAATGTTGTATTTTTAAAGGGGTTCAATACAGAACTGATAAATACGGCCACAAAAAGGGATGCTAACAGTTTGTTATTAAATCAGCAAACATGTGTTGTTATTTATGTCAGAGTCTCACTGTTACAGCTGGAAGCTTGTGTTCTATTTCGTGTAAGCTCCGCCCTCTAAGGCTATCGCAGATGGGTACCCCCGCGCGCGCGCTCGCGCATTC